CACGAAACTACCCTAAAGGGTCCCACTCACTTCGTTCTTCTCCGCCGTTTTTAGCCGACGGGTAAATCGTTTATGAAGGTCGTTCCAAAATTTCAGGCGAGTCTGGATTTTTGACGGTTATCGTGCCAACCGTTCGAGTAAACACGAGGTGTGTGTTCTCAACAGTTTGACTGGTCGGGTATTTATCAATAGCAGTGACGTTCAGCATGTTTTTGTTGTTTATTATTATTTACAACTGGTTATAATAAAAATGTCGGATATTAGGCAGTGGAACAGATATTTTTTATTAGAGTTTATCGAGCTTGGCAGGTTTCGGGTGTTATGCGTCCTAGTACCTGCGGTGAAATAACAGAAAACTTCAGATCCTCGTAGCTGCGGCCAGTGGCCAAAAACCGCAAAGTAGCTGTTAGGCGTTCGTGAGGACTGATGCATTCCCGTAAATGGATATTATGTATCTTAATTAACGGTGTTACTAGTTTTAACAGTTTCCGATACGTATCCTCGTCCATCCACAAGTAATTGTGCCAATCACCAGGCTCCAATCTTAGCTCCTCCAGTAAATTTGTTTGTGACAGTGTACTGCGTTTAAGTAGCCAGTCTTTAGTCCATTTTCTTAGAGATTTTCTTTTTTCGCGATTTTTTTCCACTGCCAAAACCGCTGCCACTGCTAACACGTACGGTCCATCGTGATAAACTGACGCGAAAAAAAATGTGTGTGGACACATCAGTCAACGGTTTTCCTTCCAACGTTTTTAACCGTCGTCGGTTAAAAACGGCGAAGAAGAACGAGGTTAGCGGGGCCCTTAACGAAGGGTAGTCAAGAATACAAATTTTCCGTCACATGCGGTGGCGACTGAAGCTCACTTTTTTTCAGTCAGATAAGGGATTTTTCTTTGTAAGTTACAGTATTGTCTAGTGTCCCTGAATATGTTCCATGTAATGCCTTGTTTTTCCAGATTTCTATTTGCTGCTGTTCATCAGAAATTTGTATCAAGTGTTCTGCGTTAGTTAATTTCAATGGTGTATAATTGTCATCAACCTCTCTTATCTTGGCTATTAATTGGCTTTCAGAGTTTTAAAAATATTGCCTTATATCTAATTCTTGTTTTAGGCACATTTTCAATATTTATAAGCTCTCTTCCTCTTGTGAATCTAGGAAGCTATAAGGGTTGGATGGATGATTTAAGACGGCTACGGACGATAAGCGATAATATAATATATATTATGGCTCAGCAATGAGCTATAATATTATATTATTGCTGCAGTGGACGAGAATATATATATTTGTTATTTTTCAATATAGTAGGCTGAGCCAGTGAACTATATAGTGTAGTTACCAAAATGGCGATGGAGAAAAATTTGTTATTCCTGGATACCATTGATAGCTCATCAGAAGATGAATCAGAAAGAAACAAGATTCTGGTTATCTAATCATATCAAATACCGAAAAGAACGAGGAGAATTTAACTTTTTAACGAATTTAGTGACGAAAAATTTGCAAATTATTTTCGAATGGACTGAAATAAATTTTATGAATTTCATTATTTAATAAAAAATTATATAGAAAAGCAAAACACAAATACGCGGAAAAGCTAGTTTCTCAGAGCGACTGGCAGTTAATTAGATAGAATATACTTGGTTATAGGAAAGTGACTTTTACTAAAAAACTAGAGTTTAGAAAAAAAATATATTAAAGCATAAAAATTACAAATCTGTGTAGAAATAGCAACTAATTTTACAAACCTACCAAATCTATTTATCAAATTAAGTTCAAAAACAAACATGTAAACAACGCCGGTTTGCTCTCTTGGCGGGCAGCGCGACACAAGAGGGGGAAAGATATATCCTAAAAATCGCTCGGAAAACATATTTCGTCCAACATTAAATATATCGTCCGGCATCGCCGGGATATAGATATATATTATAGTATCAATGCGCGGCGACTTGCACTTTTTAATGCAAAGCGATATTTTTATAATATGTGAGCTATAATATATATTATATTATCGCTCATCGTCCGTAGCCGGCTTTAGGGTGATGGGACCTAAATTTGGTAAGATGTCTTCTGGTTAGTCTGTTTAGTTCTTCTAGATCTACTTAGGAATACTTTAATAGACCAAAGGAGTATGTTAACACAGGTATCGCCTACATGTTAATAGCTGTTAAATGATTTCTTGCATTCAGTTTGGTATTTAGTAATTCTGTTACGGTATTTTTCTTTAAATTCCTTCTTTAGAAATGTGTGATCAACCGTCTTGTTTTGAGCAATTCCTAGATATTTGTTATGTTTCGCTTAGTTGTATAGGCTCTATTCCTTGAATGTTATTTTCCACTTCCACTATTTTTTCCCTTCAAATTATATATGCACATTTGTCCAGTCCAAATGACCTGTCAAATGCCCTTGATTTATACTGATTTCTCCAAAGACTTTGACGTACCTTCAGGCGTCCCGCAGGGCTCACATCTAGGATAATTATTTTTTAATATATTTGTAAACGATATTAAATCCTGTTTTCATTTTGGTAAATTCCTTTTATTTGCAGATGATCTCAAACTGTACTATATTATTATAGTCCCTATATCACATGCGTATGAATAAGAATTTACTTTCCACCCGTGTGCGAATGTGCTACTTTCCGCATCAGCTGTCACAAAATGTCAAATGCATCAATTCTATTTTGTTCTATGTAATGTCCATATTAATACTAAAATCGATATGATTGTTATCATTCAATTGACGCAAGGCCTATTAGCTCAAAAAATCGGTTTAGTGTGGCATTATCTACTGCAAATCCTCCTCAAATTCATTGAACTAATATATTTCAGCTCAGGTGGTAGAGTATCAAACTTTATCAACTTTGCCATTTGAGACCTGGCGAGCGACCGCGTTCAAATCCTTTTTTTTTTGTTTTTTTTGTTTTTTTTTTTTTTTTGTTTAGAAAATATGAAAATTGATTAAATACGATTATTGTTGATTAATTTTTTAAATACATTTTAATTATTATAATAATAACCTGGTTTTACATTTTTTGATGAAATTATTTTGTGATCGTAGGAAAAATATTGTACATCACTTGTGTGAAAAGTGATTTTCCACACTCATGTGATAGTCGCACTCAGCTTGTGCCTCGTGTGATAGTCGCACTCGGCTTGTGCCTCGTGTGATCGTCGCACTCGGCTTGTGCCTCGTGCGACAATATTTTCCACTCTTGTGAAAAATGTCACTTTCCACACTCTTAATGTAATATACTATTTTTTCTTATTTTTGTAGCTTGACATTTGAGCATTGTAAAAATGAAAAATAATATAAATCAGGTAATATTATAAAAAATAAAGAAAAATTAAATATTCGCAATAACAAATTAATTGTTTTATTTAATCTATAATTGAACAAATTTATTGAACACAAATAACTTTTTTGATAGTAAATAAAATAAAATGAAAAAAAAAAAATAATAATAATAATTGAGGTGTTATTTTCTTTCTATACGAAAATATTTATTTTTTCTTGAAAATAATTTTTAAGACACGAAAAAGCCATCAGTAACAGTTTAATAAAAGTCATAATTTCATACATTTGCAACTTTAAGTTTGAGTATCTTCAGAACGGCTCACTCTATGAAAAAATAAATTAGAACTTTTTGTAGAGCGTTCAATATCCTACCAATATAATTTTTCAGTTAATGTTAATATTAAGAGCTCAAATTTTTAGAGGTTTCTTTTTTGACCTTTCTGAAAGTTTTCAGCCTGTTTTTAGTTAAAAAAAAAAAAAAAAATTGCTCAAAAATGACACCCCCTAATATACATGTAAAGGAAAAATATACAGTTTATAGCCAATAATGTTTATATTTTAATAATACAAATCTAGTGAGATATACAGTAGGCTATTTCCAGAGCTTTAAACTTTTAAACAAATCATAGAAACGTGCGGTTTTTGCTGATGTTATTTTGCTATAAGTTTTGCTTCAGTGACACAGAAATTATGTATTACCTATAAAGGGTGGTTTTTAAAAATCTCTTGTGTTAATTCACTGTAACCAAATTTTATCAAATGGAAACGGGCTACTTTTCATTGGGACACCCTTTGTTTTTTAAAAAGAATATGTCTAACTCAATCGCCTTTCTAACCATTTTTGCAAGAAGACTAAAATAGCAGTGGTTTATTGACTGAAATGGTACTACAAATCACTATTTCTCATAAACCTGTAAATCATCATATTCATATTATCCATAATGTTTTAAACCCAATTTGTATCCACAAAAGCTTCAAAACTTATTATTTCTTTTTTATCAAAAGGATGATGCAAGACAGGAATGTTAATGTCACAATTTTAAGTTTAAATACATATTAATAAAATAAATAAAACACAAAGCCATAATATGTCATATGTGTGACAAGTTGCTTTGTATTTTATTTATTTTATTTTATTTTTGTCTTGGTCAAATTTGAGTTGGAATTATTTTCGTGTTTTAAATACATTAGCTTTTTTGTAAAAAATATAGAAAAAATCCAAATATTCTTCAATAAAAGCTTAGAAGATTTAATTGTATCATCAAAAATTTGATGATTGTACAGCATTATTTAAATTTAACCCAAATAAATTACAAAAGCCTACAAACAGGATAATTTTGGAATATATGTTTCCAAATTAACATAATATTGAAAGAGTTACAATATTATTTTTCTGAGTAGAATTATTTTATTTGAACATATTATTTTTAAAATAACCGAAGAAAACCACCCTCAAGATATATGTACTGTATGATGATGATGATACACTGTAGTAGTTTAAAATTCGTTATTCAGTACCAAGAACATTTAGAAATAAAAACACGAGTACAAAAAAACTATACAAATATAATCCACTTCCAAATATTTACAATCAAAAAAAATACCAATCATAATCTCTTTAATAGGAATCATGTTTTTTATATTGAAAAATGTTCTAGATCATTCATTTTTTCACAAAAATCATTATCTACAAGCATTTCGCGATTACCATAACGTTTCTCAAGATACTTCCTCCATGACACCAAAACCACATATCCAGCTATTGAAATAACCAAGAACACCCCAGCTAGTAAACCCACCATCTTTCCTGGTACCAAACCAGAAGACTCAAGTGGACCACCGGTTTTAGATTCTTCAAACTTCTTTTCTTCTGTGTTAATGTGATAGAAATGATCCAACAGCAAGATCTGTGTGTCAATAGGTCCATTATCTTTTATTGCCTGTGAATGTTCTGGGGCTAAATCATATTTAACCTGTCCAGGAATGTCAAGCATTTCAGAAACTTCAGTGTCTGTAGTAGAATCTTTAGCATAAAGCAAATCTAATGAATTAGTTGATGAATGCTGTTCTTTTATTTCACTTGTATTCACATTTATATCGGTTGTAGCATTTTTATTTGTTAAAATTTGATCACTTGTTTCTTCTGTACCATTTGTTCCAACAGACCAATTTGTTGATTCTTCTGAATGAATAGTAGATGAAACATTTATTATGTCACTATTGCCATTTTTTGATTGGTCTTTGGTTGCAATTATTTCATTTGAAACACACAATATTAAAACTACTATTTTCAATAACGCCATCAGTATATAAAATTGGAAAAGTTGTCTTTAACAGTAACAATTAGACACAATAATTGAGAAAGCAGAACAACTGAATATAAAGATAAGAGATAATAACTGATAAGGTTATTTTGATATTCAAATTAAACAGAATTGTGACGTAGAAAAATGTGTTTATTTTTTGTTTTAATTACTGTTTTTCTATAAGGAATATTAAGGCTTAATTGTGGAAAGACAAACATAATATTTCTTTCTTTGCATTTTTTAGAATATAAATGATAAAAAATTAACTGACAAATACTTTTATAATATAAATTACAATATTGCAAAAGATATTGAAGAAACATAACCAATCTAACTTATCTGAAAAAAAGTTTTTAGGCATTTTTTACAAAAAAAAAAATCTGATTATTTAAAATAAAAGATAATCTCTATGTACTTACACATGGTAAAATATATCTTATATTTTCAGTTGTACCTACTTAATGTATTTTTTGAAAACTATTTAAACTGTCAAATTTTAAGTAAATATTTATTTTGTATTGCTCTAAATAACATATTGTTTTAGTTTAACAAAACATTATTGTACATTGTATTTTGTACAAAGCACGGTATTTTTAAATAGTACATAATTTATGTATAATAAAAAAATACTACTCAACCTTTTCAGAACAGATGACTGGAGTTGCATAAATTTTTCTTACCAGTCAACTGGGAAACGACTCAAGTTGAAAGCTTGGAGGTGTAGTTTGATAATAATGTGGTATTAGTATGACCAAACACGCCCGTATTTAGCGCTCATTTGATGATTTATCATCTGCCTTTCTTTATTTTCAGATGACTGTTCACATTCACGGAAAATGCTACAGTGTGGTAAATTCCTTCTCTGTGATAAATGCCTTCTCTGGCATCTCTGGTAAATATCGTTTGTTTCTAAAATGTATCGGAAAAAGGTTTATTTGTTTTTCTGTTACCAATCTGTATTTTGTATCAACCTTGATTTGTTGATGTTCTGAGATTTTTTAATTTTGTTACTACAAAGTTTTTTTTATTTTGTAAGATACCTGTTTTTTGATATTGATATAATGACATTTTATTTGATATTGCATATTTTTCACATATTTTTTTATTTTATGGTTTTACTCAAATTAAAGTTCTGCGTTTTTGTAATATTCAGTACATTATTTTAAAGATATAACGAAAAAACTTTTCCATTTGAAAGCGAAGCGACTAGGGTCGAAACGATGTCCGCAGCTGTCTGGTCAGCACAAACCGTTATTATGGCTGGAGTCCCGAAAAGGTTAAAGAACATAATTTATTGTTTTTTGTCGAAGTATTAAGAATAACATAAACATTGCTATCTTGTTGAAAGGTGTTTACAACAATTTGTATATTAGAAACTGATAATAAAGTGGTAAATCATTGTCCATTTGCCTACATTTAGTAAGCCAAAAAAGAGAATAATTTTAAGCCAAATAAAGTCATAGATAAAGTAATTAATAAAACAAAAATATGAAAAATTGGAAGTGTTTTAGAAAAGATCTCAATCTAAACAGATTGTTACTTAAAAAACAGTGTTTGAGAACCATATTTTCTTGCTCTAGGTAAATACCTTTATAAATGTTTTGTTTTTATAATAAACTGGTAGAATATATCAAAAACTACAGCTAAATAAAGGGTTTAATAATAACTGGGTATTAGAAAAAAATTGATATGCAAATAATCATGCACATACAAAAATGACAACAAATATTTACACATATTTTTATTACCAAATGTTGTCGACTTGTTCTAAAACTATTTACTCAAAAATGTCATTCTTGGACTCATAACTCTAACATGAGGATGTTATTTAACTACCGTTAAAGAGACCATGATTTTGAAAAATTAAAAATTTAAACTGAAGTGATAAAGTACCTATCATTTGCAGAATAAGAAGTAAGCATTGTTGGTACATCTCAATAGGATAGGAATAAAGGAAAAGTATAAATGTAGATGTGGAGAAAGATATACATTTTTTTTCAGAATATTTTTTGTATTACATTTTTAGAGAGTATATCCCAAAAAATTTTAAAGTACCTTTATACTTACACTGATATATTTAAGAATGTATCTTATGGAAATGTTTATTCCTTTCACTGCAGGAACTGGCTATTTCTGAAAATTAATAGTGTTGTCATGGTGGTAAACTTTATTCAAACTCCTTGTTTGAGGGTCTACTGTGGGTATCGATTTTTTTTTAATCTAATACCCTATTCTTATATTTAAAAATATTGTTCAATTTTTAAATAAAATACTTAATGTCACATAATTTATACCAGTTTATATTTTTTAAATGAAATAACTTAAATAATTGGTTTACTAATGTTGATACTGTTTTTTGGGTACCTACTTGGTACCTGCTGTAAATACTTGAAAATCCAATTTAATGTCTATACAGTAAGCTAGGTATTACTTATTTTTAAAATTTAACTTACTGAGACCAGGCGGGCTTCCCATGTTCATCTGTTTATCCACTTCGTTTTGCAACTGCTTCAATTTTTCAGCTTCTTCCTCCATCTCGCGAACCCTGGCTTTGATGGCCTCTAATTCTGGATCATCTGCGGCAGTCCCATCTCCGTCTGTGTCGTTTAAAAGAGCCTCGTCGTGCATACCGTTCGTCTCGTCGAATGAATCTATGTGATCGTCACCTAAACCCAAGTCTCCATTATCGGCCATAACCTAGATTTTTATTATATTTTTTTAAAAAACAACTTCTACGTTTTGTTAGATTTTCGAGCTTGGTTATGCTTCAAGATGGTTATTAGTTGACACAATTTGAAACGAAAATGTTGTTAAAGAAACAAGATGAGTCTTTAATGAGCTGAAAACCGAAACAATGTTTGGAAGCCTTTGAGGCGAAAATCGAATGATAAATATAATCGTTTTGATGAAATCTTAAACACAAATTGAATACTTACTGATATTTCTTCTCAACTTTTTTATCACTATTATTATTTTTTTTTTTAATTTACCGGCTTATTTCCCCAATCACCAACGCACATCCGCTTCTTAAAACTTTCTAAAATGGCTGAGGCTGACACAGAACATACAACATACAGAACATAGAGGAAGGATTACAGAACATCACTAGGCGAGTTCTGGAGCGGGACAAATTTTAGGGTGCTTTTAAATGACATTTAAGCGTGTTAAACTGTCACTAATCGGAATCGGACTATTGCTGCGTTTGAGAATCCACATCGGATGCATTTTTTACATCTCGAGCGTTTTTTTATCCACATCGGACACATCTGTCCCATTACATTTACGTATACTGAACCACGTGATCAAAGATTTTTTACATCTCAGATGCATCCGATGTGGATTCTCAAACGCAGCATAAACGTGACCAAGATCAAAACCGACAACTGACATTTATTATGCTATTTGCTCCAAACTCTAGATGGGGCTACTGGTGAAATTATGATTTATTACTCCATTTTTAAGCGTGCGTTTAGTCAGCCTGATTTTGTTTTAAGCACTAACATAGACATTAACATAAACATTAATTTAAGGATTTTAAAACAAAACCGTTTATACAGAAAATTTAAGCATTAACATAAGATTTGACAAATCATACAAAATGGAAAAAAGGCGTATGGGAGCTGCTTATGAAATTGCTCTGCTAACTATCTCACAATTACTATTAATAAAAGTGCATAAAAAGAGTTTAGAAGTTCAAAAGTTAAAAGTAGCTTAACCTCACTTTTTGAACGCACATGCGCAATTGTATTTTCGACATAAATTTAAGCATTAAGTTGGATTTTATTTATCTTCACTAAATTTATGTTAATGTTTATGCTTATGTTATTCTGTATAAACAGGTACACTGAAATGTATTGAAATTAACTTTTATGTTAATGTCTATGTTAATGCTTAAAACTAAATCAGGCTGACTAAACGCACCCAGACAGCACACCAAATCCTTTGGATATCTACTGAACATCCCAATATCCACTGAATGTCCAGTCCATGGTGGATATCTATTTTATATCCATGAAATGTAATTTATAGACATGCAAATGTCCATAAATAATTGTAATTATATAGCAAATTATTAAAAAATTACGCCATTGTACTCGCCATTGTGGCTAATAGTACCGTTGAGATATTTAAAATTAATTTTTTTTTAAGGTGTATTCAATATCCCATGGACATCCACTATAAATATAAATATATCAAAGTCTAAGCGCGGACGCAAACCATCGTGGATATCTACTAGATGTAATTTTTGATTTTGCTTCCTAAGTATAGATGGCGATACCATTTTCGTATCTACTTATGCTTAACCCGCCGTAATTGAGTTTGATCGACATTGTTTCACAAACAGACTTCATTAGAGACTGAAGTCGAGAAGTTCCATTTATTGATGAAGATTCCTAATAAGGATGATTTTCTCCTTAGTAGGCAAAATCAAAGGCAGATTGTTGGGAATATTTTTTACCTCTATTTTCTTTCGACGTTATTCAATAACCATTGGTTACTTATGAACCTCTACTAAAAATAATTATAAAATATTTATCTGAATTTCTATATCCTGGGATATAGACGGACATTTGGTTGGATATCCACAAAATATATTCTATGGATATATCTGGGATTTCTTGTATTGTCTGGAGATACTCATTAGATATTTTGCTGAATATCCATAGGATATCTTCTATATTCTGGATATAGACGGACATTTGGATATCCATATTAGTTCCACGGAATATTTCTGATATCCTGTGGATATATTGGATATCCACAAAATATATTCTGTGGATATCTCTGGGACTTGGTGTGTTGTCTGGGCACCTTTATGGGAGAAAAACAACCAAAAACTCCAAAGATGTGACGTGTATTTATTTATGTTTTTGGTTAGTCGCATTTTTCCGTCTGATTTTAGTGATTTTTTGTTGGCTTTAGTTTCTGTTTATAGTTTCGTCTTAAGGCTGTATGTCACGATACTAAATTAAGTACTAAATTTAGAACTAAATTAATGCATTTTTTAAGTACTAAAAAAATTCACGTTGCAAACAGCAAATTTAGTACTAAATTTAGTGCTAAAAAAAGTCATTAATTAAGTACTAAAAGTGCGCCGAAATGTTGCGCAGAAGTTTTTCATAGAAAAAGTTGACACGACGGTATTTTCTGTACCCTTTTATTTTTAATTAGCGACAATTTTACATTATCGCCTTGAATAAAGTTCGCTTGTTTGATTTTGTAGGTTTTATTGTGTTTTTTTCGTGGTTTTTATGCTGTATTTGGTTGTTGTCAAGTCAACTAGTGTCAAATTGATAATAAAAACACCATTTACTTGTCTGTTTTACACATAATATTTCATTTCTCTGTTAATTTTACGTATTAATACGTCAATGCGCGTGCGCCTATAGTAAATTTAGTACTAAAAATTGGTATCGTTGCAAACGGAAAAAAAAATTTTTAGTTCTAAATTTAGTACTAAATTAATA